AATTTCATATAGTTCAACCTAATGAAAATACACATCTTGCACAGTAACTCCGGGAGATGGTGACTTTTGGGGAGGGAGGCAGGGAAGGGTGGTTTTAGTTCTATCTCTGACACGTTATTTCTTAAATAAATAAATAAAATGAAGATCTGAAGCCAACGTGGCAAAATGTTAGCATTGTGGACCTCGATCATGTATTCATAAGTGTCTATTATTTTCTATAACTTCTTTGAAATTTTTTATGGGTAAAAATAAAAGCAGTGAATGGGAGAAGAGGAAGCAGGTTGGGTCAGTGTAGACAACTGGGTCAAGCAGCTTATATGGGAATGGAAGAGATTGGGGCAACATCTGGGTTACCTGTGGAGACTGTGTGTTTATTGAGGAGTTGTCCCTGGGGGGCAGGGGGTCTGAGATGAAAGGTTCAGGACAGAGGAGGTGGGAAGCTATGCCGAATCCCACAGAAAACAGGCAGGGCCTTTCCTGGCATGGGGAGCATGTGAGGAGCTGGTGTGGGGAGAAGGTTGTGGCCTCTGTTTGGGGCCCACAGAGTGTGAGGTGTCTAGTGGGGTCTGAGGCAGGAGGCCGCTGGAGCCAGCAGGGAGGATCTCCTCAATTTCCTCTTTGCTGTTCCATCTGTAGATCTCGGTCCCAGTTTTCTGCCTGCTGGTTCATCCCTCAGCCCCCCAGGTAGGAAATGCCAATCACATCGAATCCGCCCCCATCCCTGACCCTTCCTCTTGGCACCACAAAGCAAACCCCTTTGTGCTTGCCCAACTGGACCCTTGACTTGTTTCCTTCTGCTGGGAGGGCCTACCTCCCTCCGTCATTCCTGGTTTGTCTTCCCTCTTTCCAAACCGACATGTTAAAAGCCAGCTTTATTGGGGCACCTGGGCGGCTCAGTCGGTTGGGTGTCTGCCTTCGGCTCAGGTCATGATCCCAGGGTCCCGGGACTGAGCCCTGCATCGGGCTCCCTACTCGGCGGAGAGCCTGATTCTCCCTCTCCTACTCCCCCTGCTTGTGTTCCCTCTCTCGCTCTCTCTCTGTCAAATAAAAAAAGTAAAATAAAATAAAAATAAATAAATAAATAAAAGCCAGCTTTACTGACATACAATCCATAGACCATACAATTCACCCCTTCAGAGTGTAGATTTCCATGGTGTTTAGTATGTTCAGAGTTGTGCAACCATCATCACCATAATTTTAAAACATTTTCATCACACCAAACGGAAACCCCATAACCTTTGGCTGCCATTCACCAACTCCTCCCTCTCTTCAGCAATCACTGATCTACTTCCTGTCTCTGGATTTGCCTTGTTCTGGACACTTCATACAAATGGAATCAGATAATACATGGTCTTTGGTGACTGTCTTCTTTCTCTGAGGATAACGTCCTCAAGGTACATCTGTGCCATAGTGTGTATCTTTATTCCTTTTGTGGCTGAATGATATGCCATTGTATGGCATAACACATTATGTTGATCCATTCATCAGTTGATATGCAAATGGACTTTTCTCGGAAAATCTTCCTTGCCCCTGTTCTGGCCAACCTTGTTCTGTCTGCCCTTACTCATTCTGTAAACAGGGATTCCTTGGTCATATGGCCTATGAAACTGGGGAGGGTGAGGTTTGTAGAAAGAACAGTCAGCTTTTGGTTGAGCCCCTTCATGGCTGGGTTACTGGCCCTCCTCTGGGCCTAATTTCCTTGCCTATAAAATGAGGACAAGGGTATACCCTTCCAGGAGGTGCTGACCCAAGGGCAGTGTGGGGCAGAGCACCCTGGCATACAGAGGGCACTTAACGGTGTTGTGTCCCTTTCGTCTGTGTTGACCTTGATCCCAGCTGAGAGTGTGCGGGCAGGAACCATACTTCCTTCCTTGTTATTCCCCATCAAATGTCTGAGCACAGTGTTCTTTGACAAGAGTCAGACCAAGTGGAGAAGAAATAGAAAGGAAAGAAAAAGCGGTTATCAGGAAATACCAGAGGAACTGATCAAAATATTTCAAGTGAGAGAGAAAAGGTAGGTTTTGGGGTCGAGCAGGGTGAGGCAGGAAGAGCATGGGGCATGCCGTTTGAAGACTTGTGTTTCAGGCCTGGCCCTGACATGTCCAGGTCATTTACCTCTGGGTCATCTGAACTGGGTCCCCTCAATTTCTCTCTCTGTAAAGCAGGGCATGACCCATGACATCGCTGCCCACTGGTGAGAAGATGGTGCAAGCTCATGTGCTCACTACTGTGTAAACCATTTACTGAAGGACTCAGAGGGCTGGGTGGTGTCCCTACTGACCCAAGGCAGGCCCTGGCTGAGGCCTCCTGGTGACCTGACACATTGTGCCCTCTGTGGAGGAGTGGCCTGGACTGTTTCAGGCTAAGCCCGTTCTTTTCAGTGTCCTGGAGACCTGTGGGACTCAGAGGAACCAGACAGCATTCTTTCATTCATTTATTCACTCACTGATTCATTCATCACATTTTACAAACCTACTTCTTGCAGGGCACTGTGCTATGACTAAGACATGGCCCTTGCCCCCAAGGGGCCCACAGGCTCGTGCTAAGAGGGACACCCGTGGTACATTCAGATACAGGATGCTGCCAGCCCTGTGTTACCCTACGACTTGATACACTTCCTGCCTTACTGTGCAAATTGACTTCTTGAATACCTGTTTATGATTTCCAGGGCTTGCTTTTTGGCCTCCTTGAATACATAAGGACTTCTTTATTCTTTGCCCAAGAGATTAGCACAGTGGCAATGCCCTCAGGAGAGTCTCAAGGGATGTCTGATGGAAATACAAACATGAATGGATGAAAAAAAAAAAATGACAGTGTGCCCAGAAATGCTGTAGGAGCCCTCAAGTGGGCTAGGAGGGCTTCCTAGGGGAGGTGACATTAGAAGAGGGTCTTGGAGAGTCTCAGCATGGGGAACAGCATTTGCCAAAGTATAAAAAGGCCTGAATGATGAGAACTTCCTAGTGGCCAGGTGGGTATGAAGGAGCAATGGTAGAGGGATGAGAAGTGGAAGAGGCAGATATGGGGGCAGCTCAAGATTTCAAACAACACAAACAGGAAAAAGTAGAAAGATAACTCAGTCTTGACACTCTAGGACAATCATTCTTTTGGTATATACACTGCATACCATACGTATATATTCTTTAATTGTTCTGTTTTACAGACTATATACATACACTCCTTTCCCCCCCTCCTCTGTGCAGGAGCTATTTGTTTTTTCCAGGAAGTTAACGCTGGTGCTGCGTGGGTTGAAATGTGGAACTCGAGGGACCCAGGTGGGAAGCGGCCACTGGAGCCACTGGGCGATGCAGGACGACTCTGGGGCAGTGGGATGGGGATGAACAGGTAAAGGACGTGGGGAGACTGGCTGCGTGGACAGAGAGGGAGTCTGCACTGACTCACAGGTTTCTGGCTTAGGAAACCAGGCCGCTGGTGACACCTTTCAGATGAGGACTTCGGGATGAAGCGCGGGCAAGTTTGAGGAGCAGATAAGGCACTGAGACGTGAACACCTTAGCGTTCTGTGGAACTGTCCCACAGGGAGTGGCCCCCTCGAGCCGGTCTCCCCGGGGGCCCGCACAGCTGCCTGGAGCCCCCCGCGGGGTGCCAGGTGGATGACGGGGCGGGGGCGCTCCAGAGACGTCCAGGCCTGAAGCCCTGATGTAAGGGGCCTTCTGGGCCTGGGTACAGGCTGTGCGCTCCACAGCCCGGGAGGCAGCGCCCACCACCTCGCGTGCAGGTGAAGGGGTCACAACTGGCAGCCCCATTGCATCGCGCTGGGGAACAGGGGCTCAGGAGTCTTACGACTCCTTCACTTTCACTTGGGGGTGGGGGATTCGAGTCCCGACCCTGCCACTTCCTGCCTCAGTTTCCCCATCTGCATACACTCGCGGGCGGTCTGTAACCTGCAGGGGACTCGACGCGTCGCTGGCATCCGGCGAGGGGAGGTGGCCAGGCCTGGTCACTGGGGGAAGAGTCGCGGGCAGGGACGTGAGGAGCCGGGACCCGGCAGAGTCGCCCAGCGGGACGGGCGGGCCCGGCCGGCGCCGACTCCACGCCTGGGGGCCCGGCTCGCCGCCAGGCCGCAACCCCGGCCCTCGCCGCCCAGCGGCAAACAGAACAAAAGTGGCGGCCGCGCCGGGAGCCGAGCGTCCCACAGGCGCGGCCGCTCCGCCGCCCGAGCAGCCCCGCCGCCCCACGCACGCCGGCCGCGCCTTCGGCCCCTTCCGCCCGAGCACGCTCGGCTCTTTCCGCCGCGGACGGCGCAGGTGGAGGGGGCGGGGCGGGGGCCGTGCGTGGTGACGCCGCGGGGGGGTGACGCACCGGCGTGCCCCGCCCCCTCCCCCTCCCCGTTCAGGCTCTGGAAAGAGAAGAAAAAAAACTTTCTTTTTTTTTTAATTGAGGAATCAACAGCCGCCATCTTGTCGCGGACCCGACCGGGGCTTCGAGCGCGATCTACTCGGCCCCGCCGGTCCCGGGCCCCACAACCGCCCGCGCACCCCGCTCCGCCCGGCCGGCCCGCTCCGCCCGGCCCTCGGCGCCCGCTCCGGCGGCCCCGCTCGCCTCTCGGCTCGGCCTCCCGGAGCCGCGGCGGCGGCGGCGGCGGCGGCGGCGGCGGCGGAACGGGGGGTGGGGGGGCCGCGGCGGCGGCGGCGGCGGCGGCCCCGCTTCGCGCATTGTTTTTCCTCACGGCGGCGGCGGCGGCGGGCCGCGGGCGGGGAGCGGAGCCCGGAGCCCCCCGGTCGTCGGGCCGCGAGCGAATTAATTAAGTGGGGCGCGGGGGGGGAGCGAGGCGGCGGCGCGGCGGCGGCACCATGTTCCCGGGGACTGCCTGAGCCGCCCGGCCGGGCGCCGTCGCTGCCAGCCGGGCCCCGGGGGGCGGCCGGGCCGCCGGGGCGCCCCCGCCGCGGAGTGTCGCGCTCGGGAGGCGGGCAGGGGATGAGGGGGCCGCGGCCGGCGGCGGCGGCGGCGGCGGCGGCCGGGGGCGGGCGGTGAGCGCTGCGGGGCGCTGTTGCTGTGGCTGAGATTTGGCCGCCGCCTCCCCCACCCGGCCTGCGCCCTCCCTCCCCCTCGGCGCTCGCTCGCGGCTCGCGGCTCGCGCTCGCTCCTCTCCCCTCGCAGCCGGCCGGGGCCGGCGCCGACCCCAGCCCGGGAGCCCTTGCCGGCCCGGCCGCCCGCGCTCGGGGCTGTTTCCGCGAGCAGGTGAAAATGGCCGAGAACTTGCTGGACGGACCGCCCAACCCCAAACGAGCCAAACTCAGCTCGCCCGGCTTCTCGGCGAATGACAGCACAGGTGAGGGGGGGGCCAAGCGGGGGGCGGGGGCCCACCCCCAGGTGAGCGCCAGGGAGACCCTCCCCGAGGCGGAGGCCCGCGCAGCCGCTTCCCGGGACTGCGCCGGGCCGGCCGAGGGGAAGTTTGTGGCCAGACTGCGCCGGGGCCCCGAGCGGGGGCCGGCCCTTTACGAGCGCTCGCGGCGGGCCCCGGAGTTGGGGAGTTCTCCACGCGCCGAAAGCGAGCGGTACTTGCGGGGAGGAAAAGTAAAGTGGAGCGAGCTCGTCTTCGTGGGGATTCCACGCGCTTCTCTGTGCCGCGGTGCGTCGGCACACTCGGGGCTGCCTGGAGGGATGACAGCACAGGGTAGGTTTCATGGTTAGGGAAGGAAAAAGTGCGGCGAAAGGGGGGGCCCAAAGTGTTTTCTGAAGTAGTAGCACAATTCGCAGCGCTGCGACTAGAAGACGCTCGTAGCAGCATCCAGCCTGGGAGTTACGACTTGGAAGTTTCTTTGGAATGTGCTCCTTGGGAAAATGCTTAGCAGTTATCTTGAAAACTCTCGTTGTTTGGTCACTTAAGTCGTTCCATTTTCACCAGCCCAAACTTCGTTAGCAAGATGTCATCAAAGTTGCTGTGGTGTGTTTCAGAGGCACAACCTTAAAAGAAAGTTAGATAGCAGATCCTTTCGGGCTACAATCTCCACTTGAGCTGGTGTGGCTTTTACAGTGTAGATGTATTTTTTTTAAAATTATGTTAAGGAATGTAGGAATTGCAATTTTTGCCCCCCCCCCCAGTTTTTTTTTTAGCACGGTATTAAACAGCATCCCCGAAAACTTCCTGAGGTAATCCCATCAGTTGCTTAAGTATTTTAGTTTCTATTCGTTTAATAACTCTGGGTTCTTCTGGACTGGTTCACGGTAGCATTATGATCGAGTTGTATTTCCTCTTTCAGAGCTCTCCTTTGCAGTAAAAAAACTTGTGCGCTGCTTGCATTTCTCCAGTACTGTCTTGGAGTAGCAGCATCTGAAAATCAGTTTATAATGAATGGGTCCAAATTGAGTTATATTGCCGCAGCAATGCCTTCAGATTTGCAGAAGACACAGCTGTTCAGCTTGTGCAAATATTTCTCTGGCCACTGGCATGTTTCTTACTAATGGTCTAAAAATTTTATTTCTCCTGTTGAAACAAAACTACTTGAATTTTGTGGCTTCAGTTTTAACACAGTTCCTAGAATATTAATGTAGGCGTGAGAGAAACGATTTTTAAAAAATCCGCTATAAGGAGATTCTTGTTTAGTTTAAATAAAATTTGTTAAATGGTTGAGGGGGTAGTAAATACATCTCATGAGATGTAAAAGTCACTAATGCTTTTTTTTTAATTGGTAAAGAATTGAGTGTGATGTTTATTTTGTCAAATCACCTTGTCTGAGGTAAGAAGTGTGGAAACAACCATGATTTAAATGCCCTTTTACTGCAGAACAGATCTCCTTTGCTTCATTAATCTTGCTGTGTTTGAGTGAAAAGTCTTTAATCATGTGAAATATAGATCATACCAGGCAAGTTCAGCTTTGAAGCTTGTCTTCTGAAACTGGTAGCTTTTTGAATGGCCTTGCAGCTTTGCTGTTGTTGAAGGAGTGTATTACAGATTGTGTTTTCTGAAGGGATAAATTACTAACACAAGACTTAACAGAAAGGCTTGTCCAACTATATACATTCAGCTGTTTCCAAGATGGAGCCCAGAGAATGGCCTTTTTGGGTAGTTCTGTTATTGGATGGTCACATATTTACTTGATGCACTGCTAAATCAGAACAAAGTTTATCTGAGAGGATTTTTCCCTCTTGGCCACTTTTTTCCCCCTTCCTTTCCAACGTCGATCCTCCCAAGGCACGAGGGCTCGCTCTTTTCCAAATGTGGAACAAAAAAAGTTTTTAATAGCTCCAATTTAAATCATTTAAAGAATAAAATTCATGATCATACTTACGTCGAGTTCCCTTGGTTACATGTTCATCACGTCACGTTATTGGGCAAGAGTCTGTTAGTGTGGGGGCCAAGGAAGGGATCATCATCCAGCACATTAAACAAGGTACAACCTTGTCTCCCATCACTACTAGTCTGAGACAGATCTTCAGGATACATATTAAGCAAATAAAGGATTAAAGGAATCGCATTACGTACAATCAAAGGAGTGAGGGCATTGGGTTAGATGGGAAAGTAGGGAGACTCAACCTCATTGTAGTGAGAGGATGTGTTTTTGAGGCTCCCAGGAGAAAATTGGACCAGGTGGAGCAAGGTGTGTTTCCTGTTTCTGTGATAAACTTTTAGTGACGGGAGCTCTGTGCATGTAAGGAGCAGGAGGAGACCGGATGGCCTGAGAAACCTGAGTGATTTGGACTGCCACCATGCAGTACGTGTCTGTGGGGACTGGCCTGGGGAGCCATTGGTGTCCATTGCGTGAGTCTGGGGGGCTGACATTGGGTGGAGAGAACAGTACTCCTGCCATTGGGGAGCTCACAGGCCAGGGTACTCCCTACAGGGCACTTGCAGTCTAGCAGGGGGAGTGTGGATGTGGATAAGGCGTGCCAGTGAGGTAAGGTGGCATCTCTGAGTGATAAATGTCATTACCACTGATGACAGGAGAGGCTGGGAAGGCTTCTGAGGAGAGTTTGGAGAGGGAATGCGGCACTAGAGAATGTGCCCCAAAGGAAGGTAGCAAGAGGGAGAAGGAAAAGAAGGAAAACTGACCTCACCCAAACCTCAGCTCTGGAGTGGCCCTGGATTTAACATCAGGAGATTGTTGTCAAAGTAGCATTTTCTTGTTTTACATCGAAGGCTTTCTCACAAGTGCAGTCTTCCTTCACTTGGCACCCATTATAAGAGGTAGGACCGTGTGTTTCCAGTATATAGTTAATTGTATGTTTTGGAAACTTTTTTATTTAATATGTTCAGATTAAAACAGCATATTAGTATTTTTCAACAGCAGGGATTCATGATTTAACATTGAAGGAGAAGTAAATATCTGGGCAAGCAGTAGACTTTTTTTTTTTTTTTTTTGGTCAGCTTTATTGAAGCCACATTTACATACAGCAAATAGACTAGTTAAAGTTTTTAAAGACTGTCTTCTGAAAATTGAACACAGATCTATTTCATCCTATCCTGTTTAAGTGTCCCTAAGCAATTGTGATATACTTTATAAGGTGAGTCCCTTTAAATGCCATAGGAAACCATATTTAAAGAAAGTTTGGGGTAAATACGGTTACCAACCAAAATACCTTTCACAACAAAATAATGATCTGTTATGTATGTGTCGTGTTTTCCTCATCAGAATGCTTTTCTCCACATCCCCTTGGCTTGGTCCTCACAGCATCCTGTGAGGTAGGATGGGAAGATACTCTTCCTGCCCATTCTAGGTAAAGAACCAGACGAGAGAGGTGATCCACCCAAAACCAGAACCAAACCTAGGTGATTAAAGTAAATAATTTGTGTATATTCGTTTTCTAAATCTGTGTCCATAAACAGGAAATTTGCTTGAATCATGGATTTAGGAGTTTGTAGTACTTGGCAAGTTTCAATAGCGTAACTCCAGCAGGTGAAGTAAATCTTGGGGGGGTGGAGTCTGCCACCAGCTCTGGGAGGAAGCAGAATGTGTTCTTCCTACCGGGGGTGCAGGGCACTGGCTCCCTCTTCCCTCGGGTTCTGGTGCAGCAGTTTGTTCTCACCTTCCTGCGGATGGCAGTGGAAAATTGAGGACCAGTCAAGTTTTTTCATCTCTTCATTGAGTTCTGGCTTAATAGGAAACAAACTTTTGTAGACACTTCTAGGGCCAGGGCTTTTCATGACTTGATTTTACTTTTACACGTGTTGGAAAAGTAGGGACTTTTGGATAACCTAGGGCTCCGTTGAAGATGCTCAGGGATGATGATGGGTAAGTACAAACCCCACCAGGGGTGTCTCTCGGTGCAGCAGACCACCAAGAATCACTCCTGTTGGACGTTCGAGTGTGATCCCGTAACTGTTAAACCTTACAGAGACAACTTGCAAAGGGGTGGAGGGGCTTGTTCTTAGACCAGTAGCGCTGTTTTTACAACTTGTGACTAGTACCACTGTGGCTCTGAGACAGAGTATGTGATTACTTGGGGCCACGTAAGTGCCGACTTTATGTTTTTACTTAGTGTTTTTGAAAACAAGAGTTAAAAATGATTTTGCCAAAGTATGCCTTCCCTGGTTAGGATGAAATGTATCTTATTGTGAGCTCTTCAAGATGAGCAAAGCTTGTGTTAAGCCAGTTGAGTTCTTGGGTGCCATTAGTCAGGACACCACCTCTTCCATCTTAATTCAAGCCAGCATTCCGAGTATGTTCCAAGAAAACTAGAAGGCATGCGAAGAAGCATTTCTTAGAAAAGGTTTTGTGCTCACACGAGGCTGGGAATAGCTGAGGAGCTCTACAGCAAGGCCTTTCCAGAGCCCTAACATGCTGCTGGGCTCTAGCCTCAGGGTGCAGGCCTGTAGTTTGCACCATTCCCAAACCTTTTTTATGTAAATACAAGGGTTGACAGACTTTCTCTAAAGGGCCCAAGGTCATATTCTTGGCTTTCCAGGCCATATGGTCTCTGTCATACTGAAGACTGCCTTTTCAGCAGGGAAACAGCCCTGGACGTAAGTACACAAATGGGCGCGGCTATGTGCTGGTAAACTAGTAACTTTGTCAGAGCCAGGAGTTGGCTCTCGGGCCACAGTGTGGGACACTGATGTAATGTGGGATTCGTGCTCTGAGGATCCTCGGTTTTCTCTTTTGAAAAGTGAATGTGCCCCATAGTCCCGGCTCCTTGGACCAGAGACCTGTTTGTTGATGGATCTGTCAGAGACAGTCACCATGCGCCTGCGTCCATGTAGTCCCACGAGCAGGCAGATTGGTTGCGGTGTAACATACTCAGTGGGGATGTAGCCAAGAATTCTGTAGTCAAGACTATTGATTTTTGTCTCCATTTTCAATTATATGTCTTTGTAATAGGAACAGGAGGACC